GACCAGGTCCTCAAGAGGCTGCTCTCCAAGCTCCTCCAGGTACAGTGTGTGCTTGATGTGGATGCTGGCTGTCACGACCCCAGGGCTGCCCCTTCACCCTGGTGTTCATTCTGTCCCTCAGCCCTGGACCAGCTGCACACCTTTGCCAGCCAACTCGGGTTTTGCCTCCAACCCTCTCCTGTGTTCCCAGGGCTTTCTTTCACCATCTCTGTTACATGATGCAGCCCTTGGCTAGAACCAAGACACCCCAAGCAATTTTGAGATACTTTTGACAACTACTCTGTGTCTTGCTGCTCAAGCTCTGGGGGGGCTGTGGCTATGGCACAGCTCATGCACCCCATGTGTCCTTCCTCTGGCAGGCTGAGAGCTACAAAGCAACTGTCTCCCATCCCTGCTGGCCTATGGGCTACAACAAGAGCCTGTTGCTGAGCAGCATCTATGACAGCCCCTGCACGGAAAAGGAGAGGCCAAGCCTTGCCCTCAACACCACAGTTACCTTGGTTGGCACTGGGAATGGGAACCTCTGTGCTCTGCAAGTTAGCAAGCTCTTTGACTTCACCAACTGCTCCTTCTCCCACTGCTCCTTTGATGGTGTTTTCCAGCCAAAGGTTTCAGGAAACTTCATTGTAAGTCCCAGCATGGAGGAGGGTGGTGACCTGGCTGCTGGCTGGGCAGGTTGTCCCCAGCTCCCCAGCATCATGTGGCAACAAAGTCAGACCCCCAGCTCTGCAACAGTGGTTGTTGGTGCCCACCACACTGGCCAGAGTGTCTGCTGATGGTGAGAGAATTTGCTCCCAGCCTGTCCCACAGCTGCTCCTTTCCCTCCGTCAGGCCTTCTCTGCCTTCTTCTACACGGTGGACTTCATCCAGACCGTGATGGGAAGGCCCGTGCACCTGCCCAGCGACCTGAAGGATGCTGCAGAGACTATCTGTGCCACCAGTTGGAGTGAGGTGGGTTCCCTGGGCACTGTGGGAAGCAGGGGGCTGCTTCACGTGGGATATCACACGGGCTTTGAGAGAAGCCCCTGGAGGTCACTGGGTTTCCTGGCACCAATGGATTAGGGGAAAGGCAATTTATGGCTCCTACACAGGACTGGGAGGGGGCTCAGGTGGGTATGGGCAGCCTTGGCCTCACAGGTGTAACCACCCTGAGCTTCAGGCCACAGGCACAAGACTGGCCATTGCTGGCTTGACCCATCTTCTCTTTCCCTCTGTGCATCCCACCCAGCTGCTCCAGAAAGCCCCCAAACTGGAGAAGAGGCTGCCAGATTACTGCGCTGTCAGCACATTTGTATATTTGCTCACGACCAAAGGCTACAGCTTCAACAACCAGTCCTTCCCCAACATTGCCTTCCAGAAGAAGGTGGGTAGAACCGAAATACATCCCCATCCCATGGGATCTCTTTGGAGTTAGGCCAAAGAACCCTGCAGGAGAGATGATCCCACACAGAAAAAGAGCCAAGCAGAATTAAGGAAGATCTCAGTGAACAGGGACAGGATGGAACTCTCAGTTTTTGGAAGGATCTCCTAGGGAATGGAAACAAATGAGCTGAGCTGGCTGTTGGGGTGGTCATGGGGTCAGGTCCTTCAGCCCTTCCTGGGCTCCCAAGACACCAGCCATTCCAAGCAATGCTTTGCTGAGGCTTTTTGGGAAGTTACCTCAGGGCAGGATCCCACTTTTGTCTGCATGTGCTATGGGATGTGCAAGGAGATCAGGAGTGGCCTGAGTGTACAAGGTTTTACTCCTAGGGAATGAGCTCACTTCAGCACAGGATGGTCACTGCTCTGTCCCTGGGCTGGCTGGACCTGTGAGCAAGCAGAGGCTCGGGAGGCTGTGGGCTCCCCCACACTCTTCTCCCTTGGGCTGATACAGAGGCTGTCCCTGAGGGGTCTGGAGCACAAGTCTTATGAGGAGTAGCTGAGGGAGCTCAGCCTGGAGAAAAGGAAGTTCAAGGGAGCCTTTCTCACTCTCTACAACATTCTGACAGGAGGTTGTAGCCAGGTGGGGGTTGGTCTCTTCTCCCAAGTAATATGTGACAGGACAAAAAAATGGCCTCAAAGGGGAAGTTTCAGTTAGATTTTAGGAAAAATTCCTTCATGGAAAGTGTGGTCAGGCATAGGAACAGGCTGCCCATGAATGTGGTGGTTACCATCCCTGGAGGGATTTAAAACACGTGTGGATGCGGCACTTGGGGACATGGTTTAGTGGTGGCCTTGGCAGTGCTGGTGTTACTGGTTTGGACTCCATGATCTTAGATGTCTTTTCCAACTTCAGTAATTCCATGATTCTAAGGTCTCCTGAGGCCCATGCAGCTGGGCTGGCTGGGCAGTGACCATGCCATGCCGTTTCCACAGGCAGGAGAAACCTCCATTGGCTGGGCCCTGGGCTACATGCTGAACCTCACCAACATGATTCCAGGAGAGAAGCCCTCGTTCCACAAAAGCATGCTGTACAACTACTGGATCATCCTCATTCTGCTCTTCGTGGTCACCACCCTGACATCACTGGTGACTGCCATCTGCCTGCTCCGGTACAGTAAGTCCAGCATAATCTGATGGCAAGGACAGGGTGGGCCACATCTGCAGGACCAGCACCATCCTACCTGCTGAAGGCTCCACGGTCTGAACGCCTGGGATGTGGCAAGTGCTCAATGTCCTTCTCCAAGGCCTGACACCATCCCAGAAGGAAAGCTGTCCCCTTTTGCCCTCCCCTTGCCCTCAAACTGCAGGAAAGGAAGGATAGAAGAGGATCACTGGCCCTGTGGGAGAAGGGCTTAAATGTTTCCCAGTACTACTCAGGGATGGACCCTGAAGCAGACTTGGGAATGAGACATTCAGAGCTAGGACATCTTTTTGCCACCAGAGCTGAGCTGAACTGGGCCAATGAGCCCAAGCAACAACAGGATTCATTTTCATGTGTATGTATATGAATGGGGAATATTACTTACACTAGTTGTTATAGCTGACCTCATTAGCCTGTCCCTGGAGCATCAGCCCTGCCTCCTGGGGAGCTCTGGGCATCACCCATGTTGTCTTTCTGACTGGCGCACAAAACCCACTGGCCTTCCTGAAAGCAAGGTCTTGGCCTTAGCCATTGGCCTCAGCTTTGGGTAAGGACTTAGCAACAACCAGATGTGGAAGATGGCAGCTTCCAGGTCCCACTTCAACAACCATACATGGTGCCTTCACTATTCCCATGGTTCCTATGCCAGACTTGCCTTTGCCACAGCCAGAGACTCCTGCACACCCTGGTTCCTGCAGCTCTGTGGTGCGTGGCCATGTTGGCACAGAGCTGATGGGCTTTGCTCTGCACTGGGATTTGAGCCTGGCATCACCCCACACCGGGCAGCTGGGAAGATGCATCTTCATTTCCAACTGAGTAAGAACATGGTTGTACAAACATGAAGAATGTTTGGTTTTGGTTGTTTGAGGTTTTTTAATAATCTGAAATAAACATTTGTAACCACTGCTATGGCTCAGTGGCTTGTGATCAGCAATAGGCAGTTCAGCCTGACTGTCTCACGGGGGCAGAACCCCTCAGCCACATCTACAGGTCAGGCTCTGTCTGAAGGCCTCAGCCCTTGCAGCCTGTCTGGTGCTGAGACATGGTCATGGCTTTGTACGCTCTACCAGCCTGAAGACGACCTCAGACAGACCAAGGTGGGCTGGAAACCTCACTCCAGACCCACCTGGAGATGGAGGAGCTCTAGCCAGCCACAGTCACCAAGCTCATGTTTCCCCAGTGCTGGAGGTGCAGCCACCTCAAATCCAGCAGGCAGCTCAAGCTGTCCCTCACTGCCACAGCCCCAAGCAAAACAACCTGCCGGCAGCCTCCACTGCCAGGGCCCAGCGCTGGTGCTGAAGGGCAGGAGCAAAGCAGCTCACATTTGCTGCTGCAGTCACTGGCAGCTCAGATACACCAGGACACACATCGCAGTGCTCAGCAGCTCCATGGGATTGGTCCCAGCCCTCCAGTCCTTTGGGAAGCCTCCCCCTGCCCTGCACATTCCACGAACACGGAGAGGAGTGGCTGTAGGGAGTTGCAGTTTCACACTGCCCTCTTTGCGCCTGCTGGCAGCACCAACTCTGCTCTGTAGGTTTGCTCACTTCCCAATACCCTTCCCTGCTCCAGATGAACTCCTGGAATGCCACGTTTGTCTTAACACACCTGTTCCCTGCAGTACTTTGCTTTCAGTTCTTCCACTGGCTGCTCCCCATCTCTGCACAGGGCAAACCTGGTTCCAGTTCAGGGGATGCTGTGAACCCCCAAGCCCAGTCTCCTCCCCAAGTTCCTCATCTCTTCAGCACAGGGACGCCCTCCTGTGGTGAGATTCAGGGCCTGTCGACATATCTAACACAGAGAAGGCACTTCTGGTTCCTGAAGCAGAAATGCTTCTCTAAGAACCCGGGCAGCTCCCAGAATTCAGGATGGGTTTCCTCTTCTAAGAAATTCAGATGCAGTTGAATCAGAGGTGGACATCCACCAAGAGCAGACAATTTACCTAGTCAAGACTTGGAGTCTGACATGGAAAAACCCTACATGTCCCTCTGTGTGCATGGCATTCGAGACAGTACCATTACCTTGTCAAGCAGTTATGAATCTTGATGGGCTGTCTGGGACTAGCCAGTGACAGGTGAGCACTGCAAAGAGGGCACATGGTCACCTCTGTTACAGGGGAAAAGGACGTCCCAGAGGCCACCCAGCTGTGGGACTCAGCTCAGGCCTGTTCAGATAGTTATGAAAAGTCTTGCTGCTGCAGTGGAAAGGACATGGGGACTAGTTGGGCTCAGGAAACATAGGCAACACAGCAATAGCTCTGCCCTCGCAACTTAGCCCAGACCTGTCTGTGCCTGCAGCTGCCTCAGAGCAATCCAGCAATCCAGACTGTGACTGCCATCACCATAGAGGGACCAGAGCTCTCTGCTCCAACATTCACTGCAGAGGTTGCCTCAGGCTGACATTCACCACCTGCTCTGTCCTTCACCTCATCCAGAAGGAGTGCCTTCAGCTCTCAACTTTTATTGTACCTCCAGTGCAATTTGCAGAGGCCATGGGGCAGGCAGCAGCAATTCCTGAGATGCTTCCACCATGCTCTCACTGCAGGATCAAGTCCTCTGAGCTTTCCAGCAGTGTCACCAAGCCCATCACTCTCACAGGCAGCGTGGGCAGCATCGGGTTGGGCAGGCAAGAGGGGGTGAAGCAGGACATGGGCACAGCATGCTATACTCTGCTGGCTACTCCACCACGTCGCCGTACCTGTTCCTCCTCACCAGTGTTGCAGCGCCGTCCCCCTCTGCACTGGAGAGGTTTTCTGCAACAAGAAAATACGTTTTCCCTGGACCTCCAGCTACCCTGGTGAGTTTGTCAAGGGTGGGCAAAGAACCACAGAGCCTTTGTGAAGCACATAAAGCCTCTTCAAGTTGGCCTAGCTTTGGGAGCTCAATGTATGCGTGGGAGAGAGCAGCAAGCAGCCAGGAGAATCGCCCAGCAGCACCTGTCCTGATGCTCCTCCAGTTCTGCCCACCTTACTGAGCAGCAAATCCCTCCATCCCTTACCTTCTTCCTCTTCCAGCAAATGAACCTTTTGTGCTGGCTCTCGTGAATACCCAAAGCAGGCAGGGCAGGAAGCAGCAGCAAGTGCACCCAGCCCACATCACCAGCCCTGCTCAGTATCCCATTGTGCTGGGTGCACAGAGGGACTGGTGAGGGGGGAGGAGCGGAGGGGAGGCAGGCATGAAACCAATTAAGGAGCTCCACCCGCCATGGGTGCTCCTGCTCCCACCCCTTGGCTGCAGGGTGCCAGTGTGGGACTTACTATAATGAGATTTTGGCAATGACACTTTCACCAGCTTAATTAAAAGACAGGAACAGCAAAGTAATTATTGTAGCAGGGAAGAACCAGGCACGACAAGCTCAGGAAAAGCAGTCGGAAGATATGACTGTACCTGCGGGCTGAGACACCCCATCAGTCACGGCGAGCTCCTGTGGGGACTTGCCTGTCTCCAGGTAAATCCAGAAGTTGGAGCATTTCTGCGTCTCAGCTCTGGCTACCACGTAACTTCCGAGGGACCCTGCAGCTGGAGCGGCCAAGGTGCTCCTGGGAGTGCCAGCAGCATCTCGGTAGGGACAGCACCTACTGCCGCGAACGCTCCTGAGCCCTGGGGACTAGGGCACAGGGAGGTGGCTGGAGCCAGAGACGAGCCCCCGTAACAACGGCAAACACCCCTCTCTACTGCTCGGGCTGGACACTTACCCGCAGCCAGCAGCAGGCTCCACTGCGGGCTGTACGGCAGCTTCTGCCGCGCCAGCTTCTGCACTGCGAAGGCGGCCCCGCTGCCTGCCGAGACCAGAGCCGGGGTTACCGGACACGGCCAGGACGTCCCCGCTGCCCCCGGGGAGCAGCCAAAGACAGCCCGGGGAATGCTGGGGTGGCTGGACCGGCCCGTACCTGCCAGGAAGGTGCCGATGCCCTTCATGAAGGCGTGAGACTGGCAGGCCGCGTACTGCTGCAGCGCCTGCGGGGACGCGTCAGCGCGGGGGGCGGGGGCCGGAGGGGCACCCAGCCCCCTCAGCCCCGGCCCCCCCCCGCACACCCAGGCCCCCCAGCCCGTTCCCCGCGGGGCGCACCGGGTGCTTGGCGGCCACATCATCCTCCACCCGCCGCACGCCCAGGTTCACCATGGCGGGGATGCCGGGCCCGGCCCGGGGCAGGAACCACCGCTTCCGCCCGCCCCTTCCACCGCCCTTTCCGCCGCGGCCATGGCGGGAGCGACAGGGCCGTTTTATCTGGTGCGAGCCGGGACGGGCCGATTCCTCTGCTACTGGGGACCCGACGGCACCGTTTAGTGAGAGCGGGGCGGGAGAAGGAGCAGCTGGGGGGCGGGGGCGGGCACGGGGCCGGCCGGGGATCTGAGCTGCTTCCTCCCGCAGTGTGACCGACGCGATGCGGGTCTGGGCCGGGGAGCTCGGCGGCTGCCCGGCGCTCGGCTGTGTATGTACTGGGGACCCAGGGGGCGGCGGGAGAGCTCGGGGCTGAGACCCCCGGCGGGGCAGGGATGGATCTGATCCCAGGCTAGGCCGTGTTGGACGCGCTGTCCTCCTCTCCCTCTGCAGCGGTGCCCGCCGGAGGAGCACGGCGCAATGCTCAGGTGGGTGCCGCCGCCCTGGGACCTCTCTCGCTACGGGCACCCTCTCGGCCCGGGCTCCCCCACCCTAGGTCCCTCCTCGCCTGGGGCTCCCCCTCTCTCCCGCTTCCCTCACCCCCGCTCCCCGCAGGGCCGGTCTGGATCACGGGGCCGTCGCGCTGAGCCTAGCCCGGGGTTCGGCCACGCTGCGGCTGCCGGAGGAGCCGCGGTGCCCGGCCCTGGCCCTCGCTCAGTTGCCCGCCGCCGAGGCGTGCAGTCAGCTGCAGGCGCTGGTCTTCGGCATGGCAGTCTGCATCGAGAGCCTGGAGAGGCGCCTGGAAGGTCCGTGGTGGGTTTAGAAAAGGAGAGGGCTAGCAGCTTCTGCCACCTTCATGAGGTCGTCACCCCCACACCCCCCTTAAAGTGCCCTAGATGTCCCAGTTCAGCCGTAGCAGGAGAGGGCTTCACCCCAGGTGGTTTCTTCTCACTGGTCCCAATGGGCCAGCAGAAGAACTGCCGGTCGCTTCCCTGTTCGGGCTGGCCCGTTCTCAAAGCTGGCCAGGGTCTGCACCAGACCTCCGCAGGCAGAAGAGACCCTGCCTGGGCCCAGAGGACACAGTGGTATGTCTCTGTGTGAAAGCACAGCCCTGTCCTCAGGGCCAGGACCACACGAGCATCCTAAATGTGGAGTCACCTTACAGACATATTTGTTTAAGGGATCTGGAAAGCTTTTGGAGCAGCAGCAGTCTGGATGGAAGTGCTGAGAGGAGAATGGGGCTCATTGGAGTGGAGGGAGCTCACTGGGGAGGCTTGAAGTGCTGCTTGCAGAATTGGGGGATGTTGTCACAAGCTTTGGCTCTGGCTCCTGTCTCAGTAGCAGTGGAGACGTTAGCATCTTCCTGCAGCCCTGAGAAGAACGCTGCCCGGAGCCAGCAGCTCTTCCTGCCAGGTAGGCACTGCCAGGGGCACCTGCCCTGGTCCTGCAATCTTTTGTCTTCTCCTCCCTGGAGGCTGCTGGTCCTGTATTCATGTGGTCTCCAGGACACTCTTGAGTGCCCTCGGCTGTGGCTGCTGGCAGGCACTCGTTGTCCTGGTACTCTTCCAGGAAGAGCAGGGGCAGGGCTTAGTGGTGGCTCTCAGGGTGTCTGGGATGCTCAGGTCAAAGGCTGGGCATTGCCAGCCTCAGAAGGAGGGCAGGCTTTGCTGTGCTTCCAGACGAGGCTGTGGCAGATTCATGGCTTCTTTTGAGAGATGAGGCCAAGTTTGGCCCTGTCTTGCCCTCTGTGGCTGCTGATCCTGCCAGGCTGGGCTCCCAGAGGCTCCCTCTTGCTCTGGAGGGACTGGCAGGGCTGCCAGAGTTCCTGGGTAACCTGTAATCTGTGTCTTGCCTGTTCTTGACTGAGGCAGACTCCAGCCCCAGGAAGAGTAGGGCTTCTGGCTCAGCTTTGCCAGCCAAAAGGAAGGTCCCAGGGGAGTCTCTCATTAACCCTGGTTTCAAAAGGTCAGTGTGGGGCTGGATGCTGCTCAGTGGGCACCCTGTGGGCTCTGCTCTGAAGTTTTGTGACAGCAGGGCTTGGGGCTCCGGCTCTGATGTTTCCTCCATCTATTTCCAGCAAGAAGGCGCCATCTGGAGTGAATTTCGAGGACTCCTGATGGATGTGCCCTGATGACAGCCCTTTGGACCCCTGTGTCTAAACGAATAGGTCTCCCTGTTGTTCCAGACCTGCTGAGCTCCTCGACCTAGGCAGATAACAGAGGCAGCAGTACCTGGCAGCCACCCCTCAGTTGGGGTGGTGGCAGGGTCCTTGGGGGAGACAGATGGAGCAGAGGGGACACCAGCATTGTGAGTTTTTCTCCTGCAGCTCTTCTCTGCTGGCAGGGACCAGCTCCTGACCTCACTTACCATGAACTGGTGGAGTTTTGGATGGAGCTTTGATACTATGGAATGGAAAGGTCACCTGTGCTTTGCTTCTGACCAGTAAAGGTGTTTTTAGCTACCTGATCTCTCTGGGTGTGTCTGCCCATTCTGCCTCTCCCTTTCTCAGGAAGCCTTGGGCCTGTTTCAGCTGAACCTGAAGGTCCAGGCCTCAGGGAAGTTCCCTTCCCTGCCAGCATTTTGTAAATGGGTGTGTGGTTAGAACCTGGCTAACCCCTCTGGAGAGCTGGGAGGGTGGGCTCTGCCTTGCTGGGCACTGGGAAAGGATAAGGATGTCAGTACAAATCCTCGTGAGGGAGGAGCTGCTGGGGTGATCACTCCAGACTCACACTGGTCTTGCTTGCAAAGCTTTTATTGATTTCCAGGGGTTCTGAAGCTTAGCTTGGGCTTTCCCTGCTTCACAACCCCCAAGTCTGTTGAGAGCTTCCTAATAGTGAGTTTGGGGGCAACTGATGTCTTCCCATTGCCTGTGCCATCCCCCTCCAGCTCCTCTCCTAAGTGTCTATGGCCGTGCCAGGTCCCCTCACCCGGTGCAGGTGTGAGGGCACCCTGTGGTGTCTGCTGACCAAGTGGGTGGCACAGTGTGCCTATGCAAGTGGCTGCAGGGCATTTTGTCGTCCCCAGCTCTGTCCCTACCCTCAGCTGGGCACAGCTTTGCCACTGATGGTGCCCGTGGCTGTGCCCCCTTGCCTTCATCCTGATGCTCGAGGGGCCACAGAACTTGTCCTGGTTGTGAGGAAGGGTGGGTGGCACAAGAGGGGCTCAGTGCACTGAAGATTGCTGCCAGCACCTGTGTGCCAGTGGAGGGAATATGGGTGCAAGGGGCACAGCTCTCCTGAGGCCCTGCAGGCAGGGGCAGGGTGGGTGCTGACCTCCTGCCTGACCCCAGCCTTGGCCCTGCACCCACCAGGGCACATGCCCGGCTCACTGCGGTGCCCGGACCACGGAACGATAGGCTTGTATAATCTCCTGGCTATTGGGGCAGGTGTATTTGAACTCCTTGGTTTCACTGGCACTGTTGAGGTACCGCCACACGCCCCTCATGTCCTTGGGGATCCCAAAGCGGCGGTAGTGCTGGCACACGACCTGCAGGCATGAACAGGAGAGACTTGCCTGACACTGTGCCAAGGAGAGCTCTACCACCAGGGCAGGCACCAGTTGGGAAGAGTGGCAGGGAGCCAGGGACATCCCTGGCACTGCACAGTCGAGGGCTGGCACTCAGGAGGTGATTCAGAGAGGAATGGGATCTGTGGGAGGGCATTGTGCTGGGCAGGGCTCCTGGGGAGAGGGATGCTGGGGGGCACATAACTGACGAAACAACTGGGAAAGGAGGAGGGGCTCGCTGTAGGCACCAAGACGAAAGTGAGGGCATGGGGATGCCAGGTAAAGGAGAAGGGCATGGTACTGGGATGCCCATGGCTTACCTGAACAATGTTGAGCTTGGGCAGCAGGTTGCAGTCGGCCAGTGTGAGGTGGTCTCCATCAAGGAAGCGGCGCTGGGAGGCCCGGAGGTGGGGGTCCTGGGCCAGCTCATGCTCCAGAGGGGTGCTCAGGTATTCATCCAGCTTCAGCAAGGCCCGCAGCAGGCTCCGCTGCAGCACTGCAGGAAGGGTGGCCAGGTCAGTGCAGCCCTACTGCAGGCATGGGGCCCCTGCTCTGCTGTGGCCTCCTGCCAGCCCAGCCCTGTGTCCAGGCAGCAACTGTCAGCCTCTTCCCACGTGGCTCAGGCTGGCTTTGCCCTCCCACAGAGACCGGGCACAGCCACACTGGCCCAGGTAGGGAGGGCAGTGCCTGGACAGACCTAACTGTGGACTGGGTGGGGGGACTGGGAAAGCTCAGTGTGACCAGGCTAAGCTTTGGGGTGTGGCACCCAAGAGGCTGCATGGGGTGCTCCCCCACCCACTCCTCACCCTCGTCCTGGGCAGATATTGGGTTCTTGATGAAGGCAGAGAACTTGTGGAAAATGTCGTTCCCAGCCAGGCTTGACTCTGGGTAGTGCGGGACCAGACTGGGGCACCTGCGGGGACATCGACACAGCTGAGGTAGATAGCAGAGGCTGACAGGCTCATCTGCTGTCAGCCCCCTCATCCCTCAGCTTGTCCTGCCCTTTGCGGGGGGCCCTTCCTCCTCTCAAGGCAGCACCAGACACTGACATGGGGGGGCCCAGCTGGTCTTCCAGGAACTCCTCAATGGTGATGGTGTCGGTCTTGGGCTCGCCGTTGTAGAGGAGGACGGGCAGCTGAGCACCTGGTGCGAAGTCCTTCAGCACATCCAGCGCCCTGTGGGAGATGGGTACACTGCTGATGCCTGGCATGTCCAGGGTTCTGCAGAGCACCGTGTGTGTGTGTTCGTATTGTGCGTATGTGCCCCAAGCAAAGAGAGTTCTGGGGGCCTGGTGCACAATGTGGTGCCCCCAGGCCCCTCCTGCCTCCGTGTATGCCCAAGGAAATACCTGCCAGCCTTCCCCAAGCACCAGTGGTCACCTGGGGAGGTACAAAAAGCTCCATGCATCCCGCAGTGCCCACCCTTCATATCCCTTCCCAAAGTGTTGGGGACCTATCGAACCCCCACCTTGCACGTGATCCTGGCCCCGGGGCTGGCACCCCTTGGGAACACTCACCTCTTCACATCCACAGTGGTGAGGGTGAAGGGCACACCTTTTAGCAGCAGCACCATGAAGAGCCGCTGGCAGAAGGGGCAGTGCCCCACGCTCTCCCCATCCTCGCTTGCCTGTGGGCACAGAAAGAGAGCTCAGCTGCCCTTTCACCGTGCCATGGCCTCACTGGCAGCAGCCCCAGAGGGTACAGGGTGAAGATGATAGGACACATGCCCCAGCCCAGCCTGGCAAGCTGTGCTGCAGTCCATAGCACCTGCTGTCAGGCAGGGTGCCAGGTCCTAGTCCCTGCCTGCTCCCAGAGCCTCAGTACCACACCCCAGAGAAGCCACGTGGCACGGCAGGTGCTGGCCCCTGCACCCTCTAGGGACAAGGACCTCCAGGCTGTGCCAGCCTCACAGAGCCAGGGGGACAAGGGCTTGAGAGCAGTAGTTGCAGCAGGGGTGGCAGTGGCAGGTCCAGCAGCAGAGATGTGCCAGAGGAAGGGACAGCGATACTGTTGGCCCTGTCAACCCCAGCCACAATCTCAGGTGAGCTCTGTCCTGCCCTGCACAGCCAGAATGCTGCAGCCCGGCAGTGGCTGGGAAGGGCCTGGCAGGTGCAGGCAGATGCTAGGGTGCTGGGCCCTGCTTTCAGAGGGAACCTGGTCCAACCTCCCGAGGTTTAACTCCCACAGCCCCTGTGCCTGCAGGGCAGGAAGCAGCAAGCAGTGTGCCCTGGAGAAGAGCCCGAGCTGTCTGCTGCCTATCCACCCACCTGACTGCTGTCAGCCCCATTTCCAACCCGGTTCTTGACCCTCTGCCCACTATCTGCCCCCTGCCTGCCCAGTGCTCACATCTGAACACTGCAGTGGGCGGAGGCAGCCCAGCCACCCCACCACAGCACTGCCAGGGTTATTTGCCAGGGCTGCCCACTGGCCTGGGGCACTGACCTGAGGACCCCACTCACCTTGATGAAGAGCTGGATTTGGGGTTTTTCAGCCATGCTGCGTGGCCGCTCCTGGTGCACTGCTGGCTGCAACCTGAGTGCCCCAGCTGAAACCACGGCCCCTCCCAGCCCACATTCCTCCTCGGGGTGCACCCGCTTCCACCCACGCCTGGCCCCACGGCACAGACAGGACGCCCTGCCATGGGGCCCCGCCACTGTGGCTGCTGCCAACCCCAGGCCAGTAAATGCAGCTGGTGGCATTGCCAGCTGCTGCCACTCCTGCCTGTACCCCCAGCCACCCCACAGTGCCTGAATGACGACAAGCACTGGGCACAGACCTGTGTTGTCCCCAGCTCCTAGCAGAATCCTGCACCCCTCCCCTGGGCGCTGCCAACTCTCCTCCTCAGCCCAGGCCCTCCCAGACACCCATCCCTGCCATTCCCCCCATTACCAACTACACAGCCTCAATGGATCCAGTTATTATTTTTTAATTAAAACGATCATTATTTTCACATTTCATCTTTTTGTTTGTTAGCAATATACAGGCAGCTCCAAGACGCCCCCACCCCCAGGGGCCCAATACCCGGGGCTGAGCATAGCACTGGCACTATGCCTGCAGCTGGTGGCCAAGGACGTGCAGGGGGAGGCAAGGCCGGAAGCAGGGCCAAACTCAACGAAGTGGAAGTGACGTTGTTAAGGCAGCAGCTACCTCTACCCTGGGACAATGCCCTGGGGCACTACCTTCCCACTCCCACCTTTGGAGTGACTCTAGCAGCGACTGTGCCAGGGCAGCCCTAAGCCCAGGGCAAGGAGGCCACTGGCCATCCACTGTATGGGCACCTCCACTGACCCTCAGAAGCCATGGGGATGACAGCATGGTACCAGGGGGAAGACTGGGTGGACAGGGAAGACATTTTGTGACTGGGATGCCAGTGCCCTTCTGGAGCCTGGAGCAAGTGTAGTGTCACAGGTATGGGACAAGGATAAAGCCCAAAGCACAGCAGCACTGCCCACCCTGAGGTGTCCCAGGGTGCCACCAAGGTGACAGCTGGGGACTCAAAGATGACACTATCCCCTCTCCCTGATGGCAAAGGTCAAACTTTGAGCTGGCTTGTCCTCCAGCATCCCCTGCAGAAGGCAGAGTGTGACCAGCATAGGAGCAGGTGCATGCTGGTGAAGGCTGCCCCCCTGTGCCCTCCAACTCATCCCAGATCCAGCCAGTTTCCCATATGCCATTAAAAAAAATATGGTCTGAAAGATCTGAAAATAGAGCTTCTTCCCCCAGTTTTCCCCCTACTGAAAATACTGTATATTGTATCACAATCTATATGGTGGTATATGGGGCTGGTGGGACCAGGGGGCATGGGGACAGTTAAGTTCAGGCCCTGCTCCTGTGCCCACATGGGGCCAGAGCCAGCCTCTCCCCACCTCCCATGGCTGCCAGCTGGGGTGCCTGGTGCTGCTCAAGGCCTCCAGCCAAGCCTGTGCGAGGGAGGCAGAGAGGGCATCAGAGCACAGGGCAGACGCATCATGGGTGCTCCGCAGGAAGGTGCATGGCCGCCCTGGGGTGTTGCCAAAGACTGTGGCACCCAGCAGTCAGGGGGCAGGGTCAGCATCACAGGCCCTGATGCCACCTCACCTCTGGGCACAGCTGCAGCTTGTTGAGAGTTGCAGGCACCAGCCATGGTCCCTGTGGGTGACAAGGCAGCAGGACCCTCTGCAAAAAGGAGGGGCACTGCTGGCTGAGGGGTGCGTGCTGCTGGCCAGTGACACTGCCAGTCCCACTACTGCAGTCTATTCCTCCCCCCACCTCCAGGCACCACTGCCAGGCTGTGCCAGCACCCACCCGGACTGTCCCAACCTCGTACCTTAAGGCCACCCCACCACCAGCTTCCAAAGCCATCCTGGGGTGCTGCAATCCCTCTCCCACTACCACCAGTGACCCAACAATAAGAACCTAGTGCAGGTGGTTCCTGAAAAGGGCTGGGCACTGAGGAACAAGTGTGAGGGCAAAAGCGACAAGGAAGGGGACACAGCAGAAAGGTGGCAGAGCTGCAGCAATGCCCTGTGATAGGGGAAGCAAGTGGTGAGGGCAGGCAGGAGGCAGGGTGAGAGATTTGAGGGTGACATCATTAGGGGCAGAGGGGAGAAAGAGCTGGTGCCAGCATGTGAAATACCCTGTGAAATACCCCTCTGCCCCCCACCATGCCTCTGCAACAGCACTGCTGCCTGGGGATGAAGCCAGTGCCCAAAGCCAGGCAGGGCGAGGGCAAACAGACCGCAGGGTGGGCAGAATGTACTAGTGGGGCCGAGACCCCCAGTGACATCCCACTGGTGACAGAAATCGGTCATGGGTGAAGCACCAGAGCACCTGCCCTGTGGTGCCCAGGGCAGCATCAGCCAGGAGTGATGTGGAAGCAGCCATCTTCATCTAGCTCCACGGGGCCAGGCCTGGGGGGCACCCACAGCCAAGGATCCCCAGAGTGTAACATGGGTGTCCAAAGGCACCGCTCACAAGCCTGTGTGTCTCTGTCCCAAAGTGAGTGGGGCTGGCAGTGCTGGCACCAAGCCACATTCTTTCTTTCACAGTATCCATCCACAGCATGTTGAGGACCATGCCGCCAGCACCATGCAGTGGTGCTGCTCCAGAGCTGAAGGGGGCAAAAGCCATCCCAGTGGTGGCTCCTGAGGTCCATCCAGACATTGCTGTACCCACTGTGTACTCCTGGCACGTGGCTCCAGCTGCGGCAACTCCACTCCACAGGGCAAAAGGAGGGGAGAGGCCAAAAGGGTTTGGTGGCTTGACAACATGGTTGTCCCCCAGGGTTTCAGCACAGCGTGTCCGTGTTGAAGGAGAGCTGAGCCTGAGCAGGGAGACAGGCAGGGCTCAGGGGCTGCCCACTTAGCCAGCACACCCAGGGCATCTGGGGCCAGAGTCTGGCACAGGTGGCAGAGCAGACACCTCTCCAAGAGAGCCCCCACCCCATCCGGGCCCAGCCCTGACTCCACTGTGTCACCTCCATGGTGTCACAGCACTCAGACCCAGGGTCCATGTCACAGACACAGGTGGGACCAGGAACACCCAGTTCTAGGGACAACCCTCTCACCCTCTCCTCCTCAAAGCTGATGAGGCCTTCATCATCAGTCTCCAGGTCCTCCTGCTCCTCCACCACGAGAGCCCGCAGTTCAGTGGGGGCGGTGCGGGGGCGCAGCAGGCTCAGCATGCGCTCCAGGGGTGACTGCAGGACACAGCTGGGGCTGGTCTCCTGCTGCTCCAAGTTGTCACTTTGCTTCTTGGCAAAATTCACAAACACCTGAGGAGAAAGGGGCAGGAGACTCAGGTATTTGCAGGCACCTCCACCCCATGCTGGTCAGGACCCAGTGCATCCTGCCGTTCAGTGGCTGCCACATGTTTCCCCATAGAGCTCCAACCCCTGCCCCAAAGGCAGATACTGCCTGGCACTTTGTCACTCCCTCGGGACAAGCATCCAGCTGCCCAAGCTGTCCCCAGTCTTACATTGTCCAGTGTGGTTTGGCTGACAGAGTAGTCTTCAATGCCCAGCACATCCACCACCTGCTCCATCTTGCTGAAGACCTGTGCCAGTGAGATCTGGTCCGACTTCAGCTGGTACTGGGCCTTGGTGTGATGACGTTCCTAGGGGGTGGTCAGAGAGAGCACTGAGCCCTCGCTCCCAGACTCCCTCCCATCACCCCATAAAGGATGAAGGCGGCTTGTGCCCTGAAGTGGGGGCTGGCAGGAGACAGCACGGCCACCATGGGCAGCTCACCTTGAGGACAGCCTCAGGGAAGTTACGGTTGAAGAACCTCACCACCTCCTTGACATTGAGGCTGGACTTGGTGCGCACTGTGATCATGTAGCCATCACCGAACCTGCACAGGAACAAGGCACCCCATGAGGATCTGTCCCCTCATCTGCACTCCCATGACCCTATGGAAGGGGATGATGCTCTTAGGCAGCCACTACTGGGCACCAGGCCAGTGGCAGGGCAATTCAATGACCTCGTTCCCTGCCCACCTCTAAAGCAGCACCCATACAGAGGGCTGGTATCTTGTCACAGATGTCACACTGTCACCCAACCATAGGCATCCAGCCCCCTCCTGCCCAGCAGCACACACACAGGCTGCTGGGCCCCATGCAGGCATACTGAACTCCTGCCAGGCTTTTACCTGTTCTTCAGGTGCTGAATGCTGCCGAGACACTTGAGCCGCCCGTTCACCATGATGGCCAGGCGGGTGCAGAGAGCCTCGCACTCCTCCATGCTGGGGTGACAAGGGAGAGTTCAGCAGGGGGCATATAGGGACTATAGGGGGGGTAGGTGGAGAGCTAGGCCTCCCAGACCATCACCAAAACTCTGTGGCCGCACTAATGGGGATGAGAGAAGGCGACAGACGGTGTCCCAGGCTTCCCCAGCACCTCGTGCCCCTACCAAATGCCATTCCCTGGGGACCGAGGAGCCCCTCTCCCTCCCACTCAGCACCCCAGATGCTCGGAGGCATCATAGGCACAGAACTCCCGTGGACCTGTGAGATGTGAGCACCACGGAGCGACCCGTTTTGATGACGTCCAGGATGAGGTTCCAGAGGAAGCGCCGTGCCTTGGGGTCCATCCCTGTGGTTGGCTCATCCTGGAGGATAGACAGCACCCTCAGACATGCCAGCCCTAAGAGGGACCCTGCCACTCTCTTCCTGTCCTGAGTCCAGCTCAGGCCATCATCCCACACTCCAGGAGATGTGTGGTGTGTGGCAAAGCAGGGGGTGGGCACCTCCCACCTGGGGTCATTTTTCTACCCTCAGGGCGCACCAGGAAGATGAAGGCTGGGTATCCAATGAGCGCAATGGCTGTGGATAGCTTCCTCTTGTTGCCCCCGCTGTAGGTGCTGGCAGGCTTGTCTGCGTACTTGGTCAACTCCAGCTTCTTCAGTGCCCACTTGACCACCTGCAAGGCATGGGGGACTGATGGCATTCTGCCAAGACCACGGAGCTGGCTGAGCAGGCAGGGGTTGGGCTCCCTTCCACGACAGCTGCCGAGGGGACTA